ATATATATATATATATATATATATATATAATCATATCTCAACAGATTATTTATATGATGATAAAATGTCTCTCTTCAATGAAACAAAAGCATAGAGTGATAAACATAACTCAAGGAGTTTATAAAGCTACATTTCACTTCAATATTTAATTATATGATCATTGTAAACTTATGATTCATATTAATTCTGCATAGACTATTATACAAAATTCAAAGGATATTGTCATTCGAGATAGAGGACGATTGTCCGAGAGATAAGTTTTCCGACCCTCTAAATTTTTTATTATTAAGGGATGCGAGTTATCGAACCGGATAGAACGTAGAGTTAAGAACTCGAGCAAGAACTGGCACATATTCGTGATAGCCAAATTAAAATGTGATGAACCACAACTACATAAATATGTAAGTAGCTCTTTCCAATGATTACTATATGCTGTTTTCAGGGTCTGAAACTTTCTGGATTTGGTCCGAGAAGCTAATAAACACGGATCGAAGGAACTGAGAAAGAAAATGTTATGATCCGAGGAGACATATCAAGGAAGAGCAATATGCAAACATCCCTGCAATTACAAAAGGCTGGCAAACAAGCCGCATTTGGGTCATAGGATTTGAATGGTCGAAGCCTTGTCCGAGGAGGAGAGGAGAGGAGATGCAACTCTACTTATAAGCACCATGAAGAACAAAAACTGAATATAATAAATATAAATAATACAGGGTGTTTCCTACTCCGATCACCCTCTCCTATCTCTACTAGGCACAATATAACATAATTTTTGTTCGATCCCTATGTTAAAGTAGGAAACTTTGGTGTTTCCTAGTTGGATTGGTGCCCCCACACCCCCCTCCTCTCTATATATACGATATCCCCGACGGCGACTCCACCTTTACTTCCGTCTGACCACTCTCCTCCTTTCGACTTCTTCTCTCTCGTTTCTTTCTTTCTCCTTCTTCGTTCCCCTTCCTTCCCCGGCAATGGCGTTGGTAAACACCAGCGACGGCGGAGACGAGACATGGAGGTGGGCGCGATGCAAGTTTACCCCGACCGACACAGAACTGATCGGCAATTGCCTCCTCAACAAGGTTCGCAATCTGCCGCTGCGAATCCCCCCCGGCTTTAGCATTCCCGAGATGGAGGTGTACAAGAAAGCGCCCTAGGAATTGATGGTCCGATCTAGCTACCTTCCCACAGGTGTGTCCTACTGCTTCGTCCGCGTGCCCCGCTCCAAAGCCAGCGACAATAGGTTGAATCGGAAGACGCCCGGTGGAAGCTGGGTCGCCAACGGGAAGCCCTGCGACATACCGCTTCGATATAGGGGGTCGGTGATCGCCGGGATTCGGAGGAGTCTCAAATTCTTCAAGGACAGCGATGATCTGAGAAAGAAGAACAAGAAGGACAGCAGCCTCGGTCTGAAGTGGATAATGCATGAGTACAGCCTCGACCCCAGCTTGTACGAGACGATCCCCTCCTACGCGACCGAGGAGATAATCCTGTGCCGGATCACAGACATGTTAGCATAAAATCTATAATCATGCTATCTATAATGCGGAAAAACTTTTATGCCAAGATTGAAATCAAATAAATTGGATCTAACAATATTACGATACGTACCTTTTTCTTGTTGTTTAGAAAAATAAATCTTATCTGATCTACAAGCGCTCTATCGTCGGATCTGAAATATCAATCTACAAGGATCTACAAAAAGAACTAGATTTCATACCAATACTCTGAAATATCAAAGTTTTTCCCCTTTGAGATATTCTCAAAGTTGTCCATTATGATTGTTCTACAAGACCATTAATAATGATATCAATATAATGTGAGAGTTTAGTAATGTTATTTTGTTGTTCACTTTTATCAAATCATTTAATGATTTGAGTAACAACAATCTCTCGAATAATAAAGGAGTATTAACTTGTATCTCCTTTATATTAAAATTAAATTTTGAAATTTTCACTCCCACTGATTTGCTATTTTATAGGAATCTTATGTTACCAGATTTAATTGTCCTCGTACTATGATTAGAGCAATAAAATATGTACCCCTTTTAAACTTTTCTGAATAGATAATAAAATATTCAGAAATAATTATTAAATCTAATTTTCTTTTATGTGAGTTGAAGATCCTTATCTCCATAGGACAATCTCAAATATGTAAATATCTTAAGTCATTAGTTGAAATATCAGCTATCTATCATTCTAATATATTTAATATCAATAACCAGAATGGTGTCTGATAAATGTAAACCAATTTATTGAGAGAAAAACCTTCCATCAAGGTTATCTCCTAAAGAATCCTACTTTAATCTAGACTTCTTTTCTATTGGCCAATAACCATAATCAGAATCCAATAATATCTATAATATATCTTACCTAATTAAATAATAGGGCCACATAATCTAACATTCTCCCACTTGGCCCAATAATTGGTAAGATACAAAAAAAACTTAAAAATAAAAAATAAATAAATAAAATTTATTTAAAAACAATTTGACTCAATTGGATTCTGAAATTTTTGAAAAACTATATACACGCGTGAATTTTTAGAAAATAAGCCAATAAGTCCAATAATAATAATAATACTACATTAAGTCTGACTAACAATATAAGTCATAGCGGTTGTATGCCATGAGTGTCACACTTTCTTCTATGTACCACAATACTGTTAGTCTTTCCTAATGTAGTAAAAAATGACCCCTATAATTTGTCTTGTCAAGACAATCCTGTCATCACATTCAACCATAATATGTACATACATAATTGTGAACAGGATAGCAGAAACAAATAACTTTAAGTACGTAAGTAAGAATGTCAATTATAGTATCCACTCAAACATGCATCATCATATCCTTTATGGGTTGCTCACAAACCCAATCATAAGAACATGTTCTTTCAAAATACTTTAGACTGTAAGTCCTAAGTGAATGGATCAGCAATCAATACAGTGGAACTCAAGTAATTAATTGACATTAGATGTTTCTGGACTCATCTTCTATAACCATCAAGTACTTTATACTATAATGCATATAGATGCAATAGTACTTATCATCTTTAGAGAATAAAACTACTGCAATGTCATAAAATATCTTCAACGACTTGATAATTGAATCTGACTACACCAAGTCTTGAGATAAAAATTTTGCAGTAAAAAATTTGATTAGTGGCCTCAAAGCATGCCACAAAATCAACTTCTATTATTAATAATAATAAATTACCTCTCTAATTACATAGATATTAACCGTAAGGTGGACTTCCTATTATCGAGGCAATTTATACAATCAACATATGAAAAATACCATTATTTCAAGCTGATATAATTTCATACATGTGAGCATATAATCATTTGTCCCTTCCGAATATCTAATTACTTTCTCTGTAGTCCTTTAGTATTTTTACTTCTGGGTAACTCAAATATATACCCAACATTTTAACTTTAAAAACTAATATCTTTTCTAACACAAGTTTGAGCATAGACTTCCAACTGCGCATTTACAAAGAATATCTTCATTATCTGATTCTTTTCAAGTCATTTTCAAGCATTTACTATTGACTAAAACTTTGCTTCTTTTTTTTTTATTTACTGAACAAAGCTGTATATTAAAATCATTTCAAGACTCGGTTAATATATCCTTTCTAAGACAATCTTCATAATCATTGAGGTCTATCCTTGAATTACTCAATGTTAATAATATAAGATGTCTCATTCATATCAACCATATTAAAACTTTTAGAGACAAATTATTGATTTAGTATAATAAATCAAGATCACTATTGGTAAGGCAAAATATTATCCATATATAAGATCAATATAATAAACTTGCTCCCACTGATATAAATACTAATTAATAGTATTTATCTTAAATCTGAAAATAATGATATCAAGAACCTTTATATATCATTATCTTGAAGCTTGTTTAAGGTCATAAATGGATTCCTGAATTTGCATACCAAACTTTATATTTCTTTCATTTTCTTTTAGAGTAAATCATGTAGAGTAACCTATATAAAGATAGATCTTTTAAAAATA